TCCTTCAACCATGATAACCATTGCCTTTTAAATCATGATAACCACCGTCCCTTATACCATGATAACCACCGTCCCTTATACCATGATAACCACCAACTTTATACACCATGATAACCACCGTCCTCTAAACCATGATAACCACCATCCACTTAAACCACTACTCTTTTAAACCTTCATAACCTCTGTCCTCTAAACCATGATAACACACATATTTTGCTATTGTCCATGAGAATTCATAATTTTCCCATTCAATCTGAAACCTTGCAAAACCAAAATTAATTAAATAATTAATCTCTCTTTGTTTTATTGCATGATCTAAAGAGTTGATTGATATAGTTAGTGAAGCAGCTGAGGAAGAGAAACCAATCTTTAATATCGGTCTGGACAGCTGGTTCTCAATCTTTGGTGAAAAGAACTGGAAGGACCAGGAATTGAGAGAACAGCTAATGAATGCTCTGGCACGATTGAACCAGACACCAGACACCACTCTGGACAGAAATCATTCCAACTTTTACGGCTTGGTTAAAGGAATTAAAAAATATACTCATCAGCCAATATTCTATCTAACTGGACTATGGGAGTTGGAATACATTGGAGAAAATACATCAAGATATACTGATATTAACGCAGCTTTTAAGGTAGGTTGCCTTAACAACTTCAGTTTAGTTGGTACAAGTATTTGTAAATAATAAAGTGTTCAACAGTATTTTGTTAAAATAAGTAATATCCATGAGTACAATACAAGACAATATCAGAATTTTTGTACTATTTACAGAAGGACTAGGGTAAAAGCTATGCGTTTATCTTGTGCTGGAGTAAACATTTGGAACAGTATTGATAATAATCTGAAAAATTGTAAATGTTTTCACACATTTAAGCAAATGTACAAAAAGCATTTGTTAGAACAATATCTTGAAATGTGATTTTTCTTTTATGATGTTGTTAAATTAAGCATGTTATTTTTAATTAATATTTTGAATTGCCCATTAAGGCAATTGTCAATTTAGTTAGTGTAAACAGAGAACATCATCAATAAGCAGTGCTTCGTGGTGTCCCCTTTTTCTAGTAACCATATTTATTTATATATATTTTTTTTTATATTTTGTGCATAATGTATTAACTGCAGATGGATACAAGGAAATAGAATTATTGTTATTGTCATTGTCATAAATAATATGCATTTCAAAAAAACTGACTTATGCTGAAAATAAATCTTAAAAAGGTTATTTGTACTGACTTCACATATGAATTTTTGTCTTAAAGCATGGTGAACCATTATTTAAATATTGAGGAAATTAATTGTGCTAATTGTTAGTGAAATGAATCTGGAGTAAAACCCTTTGAGTGACAGATATTTTTCCCATCAAAAATCGAGTGCAAATATTTTTCACATTTTGTAAAGTTCTGACTAAATCAGATTCAGATAATGCTTTTAGTTTTTTAGCTCCGCTGTCGACTTTGTCGAGCGGAGCTTATCATATGAGTGATTGTCCGTCGTCGTCCGTGTCAATGTTTTACTTTTTCAACTTCTTCTTGAAAACTACAAGCCTGAATGCTTTGATACTTGGTGTATATGTACCTTGGGTAGACCTCTCTCAGATTTATTCATTTCATGATGATATCTTCAATTCTCTAATTTTGGTGAATATTTTTGTAATTTTTGGTAAAAAGTGATATTTTCAACTTCTTGTTAAAAATCGCAAGTCCAATTGCTTTGATATTACATAGGTACTACATGTGGACCTCTCTCAGATTTGTTCATTTCATGATGATATATTTAATTCTCTAATTTTGATGAATATTTTTGTAATTATTGGTAAAAAGTCATATTTTCGACTTCTTGTTGAAAACTGCAAGTCCAATTGCTTTGATATATTATACATATAGGTACTACATGTGGACCTCTATCAGATTTGTTCATTTTCTAATGATATCTTCTGTTCTTTAATTGCCATGTGCATTGCTAACAGTGGAGCTATCTCAGCCGACAGGCTGCTTGTTATTAAAAAGTTTGTCAAATTTGTATCATGTGGATCGAAAGGAGCAGGCTATACAAACTAATTTTATAATGGTGGCAAAAGTTGACAATTGCCTCAAGGGTTAATAAATTCATTACCACCATATTGGACACAATAAAAAAAGACACCAGATTCTGGATTCTGGTCTAGCCCATTTAGACAAAAACATTTTTGAATGAAAACAATTTTAAATTATGGGTATACATGCACAGAAAATGATGTAAATAATTGCTTCTATACAGTCTCAACAACAAATTGAACAGACCTTTTCTGGTTTTCTGAAAAGAAAGAACCAATTCTCTCTCTTCATGATTGTTCATATGTTTTTATGTATTTTAAAATAAAATGTTTTCTTAAGTCAGAAATGCTACAAATAAGTTTTTAAAATGAGTTCAAAAAAATATTTCGAGAAATCCAGTAACAACTGACGACGTAAAAAAAAGGTAATGACATCATGTGACTAAATATTGATAATATGGTATATGTTATAGAAAGAACCAGAGATGCTTGGTGGAGAGCCGTATGAAGGGAATATAGATACACCACCTGCTGGATCACAAGTAAGACATATCAGTTAAATTTCTAATATAATAATAATAATATGAGGTTATTACAAAGATACCTCAAAGTATGCACGAAGACAGTACAGCAGCAGTATTGCGCGTCGGTCGATGCAACAGCGTACTGTCTGAGTGCATACTTTGAGGTATCTTCGTAATAACCTTATTCTTATACATCTTTTCCTACCAAGGATACATCATGGGAATGCCGAAATCAGCGAACTTCTTTGTATGGAGTCCGGTCAAACCCTTGTGGCAGCCATGTTTGTTTTTTATTATTAGAAGACGCTTACGCGCGTAATCATTCCATATTTGGAATTAGCATTTCCTAATATGGTAGGATGAAAATACCCCGTAAAATACCGCAAAATTACGGCACGCTGCACGTATGGCGTTTTTTTTTTTATCACAATACAACTAAATATGTTAAAATAATAAAATGTCTAATACATATGCTATCGACATAAAAATTAAAATTAAAAATGTAGATATCACAAAAAACAAAGTTTGCTTGAATGCAGTTAAAAATAATTAGCAGTTTGCATATTTCATTCTGTGTACTGTTGTTGTCTAATAAATGTCTTAATTATTCACTGGGTTGCTGATAAGTAAAATCCGCGAAATTAAATCTACAAAATGTATGTGAATATGTAAAATAACAATAAAACTCATTGTTTCCTAGGCCAATTCATGAAATTAAAACACAGTGTGAACATCCTCAAATCAACAAAATAGTGAAAATATGTGGGGTTGGGGTCTAGCATTCTCGGGCACACCGAACCCCGTCCCCGGTACCGTGGCAGCAATTCGGCTTTTGCTCTGGGGATGGCACAGGCAAGATAAGACACCATTTCCTGCATTGGTCTTAACTACGTGTAGGTGGTAGTCTATTACTGGAGAGCATTATCCCGGACTGGTACACACTTTTCATCACTTTCTGTTTACTCAGAAACCCACCACCTATAGTAATTTTGACTAACCGGAGTCTATGGTGGGTAATTGAACGTAGTGAATTTAGGCAGAGGGTTTTTGCAGTATTTGAAAGGCTGCACTGGACTTCCTTGATTTTGTTTTCTGCACTTCACTGAATTTTTATTGCTCTATTTTTATAGAAAAAGTGTCCAGCTATCATCTTTATTTACTTCAACCATGGTGCGAATGAAGTGCTGAGTGCCACTGACTTTGTGACTACTGGTGTGACTGGGTCATTTGATACAACTACCTGCACTCTACACATGACCAGTACGACAGCCATTTATGAATTCCAGATCAACGCATCATCTGATGTAATGCTAGGACATTATATCAACAAAGTTACAAAAAGAAAGGTGAGAATTCATGTGAATACAATAGAATATGTCTGCATACAATATTATGACAGCATCCTACACCCTCCTCGTGACTTTCGTTGCATATGGAACTTGTTTTCACGAGTAATGCGGTTTATCCTGTGGTCGTACCTTCACGAGAAAAGCGAGCTTCTGCTATGTTTTGAAAAATGGTACTCCTGAAAGGACTACTTTGTTTGCTCTCAGGGACGAATCAAAATAAACTGCAGTACATATGTAATAAAATATTGTAAAAATAGAATGGAATATTCTAATAGTAGAGTATTCTAAGAAAAGAATAAAAGATAATACTGTAAAAATTCTAAAATCTCAACCACTTTCAAATAATTAGTTTTGAAAGTCAGTTGAGATTTTAGAATACAAAGTCATGTAGAAATCTTAAACACATAGAATTTGTGATTATGAGAGCATTAGTTAGCATACATGGTAAGCAAAATTACCATCAAAACACAATTACATATCCTCGGGGGCGGAGCTACGTCACAGACGTTCCACGTTGCTAAGACGCGCACCACTGTACCATGCATTTCTATGGGCTCTTTGCGCACTGCTGTGGAACGCCAGTCGAGCCCTTGAAAATTCGAGAAAACAACACAAACTCAACTTTCAAGTAATCCCGAACAATCAAATTTATATATGTTACACACGTAGGGCTAATCTTGTTACACTGTTCAGAGGAGTCTCAACAATCACCCCCAAAGTACCGTTTTCTGTGAGTTTTGAGCCTTTGTTTTCACCGCCGCCGGTTGCCAGGCGGTGAAAATGCCCGGATGTCCGCCCCCGAGGATACAGTAATTTATAAATAGATTAAGAATATTACTGAGAAAGCACTGTAGAAAAATTTGCAGATTTATTGCATCATGAAAGATGTTAACTCTTTCAGTACTTGTTTTACCTTTTATGAAGTGCTGATCACCTCTTTAACTTTATGCAGAGAAATCAACAACCTTTAAGGTAGAAGCCTAGTCATAATTTTTGACAAAATTGGTCATAAATCGCATGACAATGTTCATTAGTTTATTATGTACAATCATGAAGCTAATGGTATAATGAAATAATAATGAAATAGCATTATTTTTCGTGTTACAGTTATGCTTTTTGAGAAACGTGTCCCAAAATTCCTTAAAAATTGCTATTTTTAGAACAATTCCATAGAACATAATGTTAAAGAAAAATTGCATTTTTTGACACTTTTTAAAACCCAGATTTTTTTAATAATTCAGAACAACAAAAGGTACTCCATCATTAAGAATATATGATTTTTTTCAGCCTATGTCACCAGGCTAGATTTTGAGATATTGCATAATATCTCTGCCATAGGAACCTGTGGTAAAAGTGTTTAATATAATAGTGTCAAAATGGCGACTTTTCACTAAAATACAACCATTAATTTCTCGAAAAAAAGGCTGGTGACCCCCAACTTTTTTTAGGTCCATATCCTTACATGTATATTACCTTAGTACATTTTATTGCAAAATGAATAAATTCTGGGTTTTTAAATTTATGAGTAGGCTTCTACCTTAATTATAACAAAATTTATTTTCGGATTGTCAATATTTGGAAGATGTTTGGTACTGTTGGTAGTACTATGCGATATTCTGGTATTAGGTATAAGGACAGCATGGTAGGTCGAATCACAGAGGTTTTCAGCATTTCAAAATAAAATAGACCTGAAGTTTACATATATTTTATAGGAATAATTTATAATAAAAAAATGGAATCTAATCATGGCTGAATAATAATAATGCTGTTTAGATCATTGAAAAAGTGTGTATGTTTACGGTAGTAGGTGATCAATTGCGTGATGTTTAGAAGGAATATATAAAACCATTATAAGTAATTTAAGAAAATTGTCATTAGAATATCTGCTGCAATGAATGAAATAACTCACATGCCTTATATATCCTGGATAAGGATTTCTCAGCTCATGCTAGAATCTTCTAAAACTTTTCATGTTAATAAGAACTAATGTGAACTGTCCACCATACTTTCAAAATCGTGCAGCCATATTAGATTGAAATTAAACTGATATAGGATATTTTACCATTTCTGCAGGTCTAGGCGATCTGAATTTGTTGTGGCATATACATGTACTATGCAATAGAACTTTAGCAGTTACCAGACTTTTTTCAGAAAAACAGCAAAAAAAGCTTTTATTTTATTTTACAACCTTCTTCTTCAGAACCACTCAACACATTGATCTGAAATTTTCATTTTAGCATTTATAATTTGTTTAGCTGCAATCTTGAATTTTTTTAAAACAAGAACTGATGCCACAGTTAGCATTGGTAATGTGGATTGACAAAGTGCAAAGTAGTTGTTCTGTTAATCCAAAGCAATGGACATAATGGCTGCATAGCAAACAAGAGTCTGGCATGCATCTCAGACTAATTCTAATAAAAAATGCTTCACATTAAATATTGGTTTTTAATAGATCAATTTTGATTGGCAAACAGAAAATTCTGCATGTGAATTGGTAACTTAACCTTTTCTACACCAGACTTCCTTGCCCAAATGTTTTTGCACATTTTAGTCCCTGTTCGGACGCAGTCCGAAAACGGGGACTTATGTTTTGACCTCTGTGTGTCTGTGCATACGTGCGTGTGTGTGTGTGCGCATGTGTGCGTGCATGCATCTGTGCGTGCGTCCGGACCTGTATCTTAGAAATGCCTGGACCAATCACAATCAAACTTCACACATACATGATATTATACACATCCACGTCAATTTGTTTCACGATCTGATTTAAGATGGCCGAATGGCGGCCATTTTTGTGCTAAAAATCATCAAAATCAAGCATTTCTCGGCTGTTTACAGAGGGATTTAGTTCAAACTTGGTATGTACATAAGATATTATAGGACCTTGATGCACATCATTTTGTTTTACGATCTGATTCAAGATGGCCGAATGGCGGCCATTTTTGTGCTAAAAAATCCTAAAAATCAACCATTTCCCGGCTGTTTACAGATGGATTTTGTTCAAACTTGGTATATACATTAGACATTATGAGACCTTGATAAGATTCAAAATGGCTGACTGGCGGCCATTTTGTTTTAATGATTGGGCTTCTAGAGCCATATCTCTTAAATGCTTTGACTTATTATATTTAAATTTTATATATTCGTTATACATCATGTTATATATATACATATATTCTATATGGACAAGTACTTGTTTGACGATCACATACAAATGTTAATCATTTTAATGTTAAACAATCATCATAATCATATTCCTGACATGGTTATATTCCAGCTATATTACTATAAACAAAACTATATATCTTAAATTTGATAACTAACTGGAACTGTGCCATGCATGGCTTGTTTTTTATATTCTTCAATATTTCTGGAAATGAACCCTAATTTTGGAGCCGACAGACACAATTTGAGTCAATTTTCAGTTTTTACTAAAAAAATTTGGCATTTTTTGTCCGAATCTTCTGAAGGAAAGTGCAGACTATAAACTTGGGAATTGGTGGTGAAAAGGTTAATAGCACCTCAATCATTACTGAAACTCAATCACAAATCATAACTGAATCCACAGAATTGCTCAGTGATGTTCACCTATTGGCAAAAAAAACTTGTATCCAATTATGCATTAATTAATAGTCCACATATTAATTGGCTTGTCAAAGGCTTTAAACAAAATGTTGCCACAATATAATTTTGAAGTAATGAACTTCTTTCAAATTGACAATAAACTTCTAATCAATTGAATATTTTCTGATTTCAGTACAAAGTAATGGCATCTTATTGTTCTGATGGTTTGAGTGGTTTGTATGAATATGCCAATACTATGATTGGTATAACGCAAAGTGGTGATGGAGTTGGTACAGTCGTGACGTATGAAGGTGTATTTCCAGCTACGGTCAGCAATGGACAACTAGTCTATCACATGTCTATGCCTGCGGAGTATGGTGGCAGTTCAACTATAGCAGGTAAGAATCCTAAAGATAAGCAATTATAATTGTTACCACAAAAAATTAGTATTTTTTAGTAATTGTTTCGTTAATTTTATACCAAATGGGCATAATTTCCTATTAGATACAGGTGGAAATGTGCAAAATATGTAAGTGTGTTTTTCTGAAAGGTGAAAAGAACTTTCTTTCGGTATTCAAAGAGTTTAATTAAGAATGTACTGTAAAAAAACGGTCACTGGTAGCATAGTGGTTGTCGCATCAGACTCGTGATAGGTAGACCCAAGTTCAAATCCTACCTCATGCTGAACATCACCTACCCTGGGTGAGTGTGCCACAGACTCAATGGGAAGGCCAATTCCACTGGCCGAGATTCATTCACTAACGAATGATGCTTGTCTTCGACCGAGCCTGGTTGACGCCAGAATAGTGCATTAAACTGCCTTTTGAAAGGAAGATGGCCACACGGCTCTGTCATGTATATGAATATGACTTCTGTGGCAAAAATGCACTATGTGTCATCACTAGCACGTGCAATTTGCACATACAAAAAAAAAGTCAGGAGAGACAACAGTGACATTCAATGTCCAGAACTGTCGCCTGGCACAAAAAAAAAAAAAAACATAAAAAAAAAAGAATGTACTGTATGTGTGAATTATTTGTGTAGTTGATATGGTAATTGAGACAAAAAAATATGGCCTCCAATGTGCATGTACTGTTAAAAATTTTATTTTTAGCTCTGCTGTTGACTCTATTACTGATTGTCTGTCCGCATCAACTTTTAAATTTTTTGGCTTTTTCTTGAAAACCGCTTGATTGCTTTTATACATGGTGTACAATGTTCTTCCTAAAAATGGCCACCAATATATTACAGTAGCTGTTACAAATTGTTATATTTGATGAATTTATTAATTTGATGTAGCAATTATGTGGTAAGAAATATGGTTATAATTAACTATTAATTTTTTATGAATATTATAAAACTGATTGTGATTCGCTATATTTAAAATTATCATATCTGAAACGATCAACCAATTATGTGCACCGTTCTCATAGCTATGGTAAACGAGTATGCAGATGGTATTCGTCTTGAAGGATATATGTTTTTGAAAAAACAGTTGCTGCCAAGGATTTCGTTCAGAGCTGTCCAGCGTGTTCACAGATTGAATAGAATTATAAAGAAAGGAAATCAAAAGTCGGAAGCTCCACAGAGTGTTCTCAAATTGGTTGATAATTTTTTTAGTTGTCGACAAAAACGAGATCACAAAGCAGTGATGAAATGTAAGTATATACATCTAGCAATGAGAATACAGTTGTTGTTATTTTTTATTTAAACATTATTTTTATTTCGTTTCAATAATATAAAATATTACATTACATAGTCGTATAAGGAAGGAAAATTTAAATTAAGAGAAAGAAAATAAGAAAAAAATTTGATCTGGTATAACATCTAAATTTGCCCAATTAGCTAATAGTTCCCATTTCTGATAATGGAAGAGTACAGTTGTGGTGGTGAGCAGTTTGTTGATATATGTGACCATTTTCATTTTCGCAGTATTTTGGCAGAAACAACAAAGGTGTAACACTAACCTTTCAAACCAACACACACTGACCATAAACAAATCTATCTTTTGCTTAATAATGTACATATATACAAGTGTTTGAACACGCTTTACTAGTCCTTGTTCGGACACAGTCTGGAAACAGGGACTTATTGATTGGCCTCTGTGCATTTGTACATCTGGATCTATATCTTTAATAGTCATACCTGGCCTGACTTCACATATACATCATACATAATATTATACATATGCACATCAATATGTTTCTGATCTGATTCAAGATGGCCAAATGGCAGCCGTTTTTGTGCTGAAAAATGATCAAAGTCAAGCATTTCTGCCATTTTGTTTTAATTAATGCTGTTTCAGAGTAATATCTCCCTACTTGTTTGATGAACAGGTACAAGATGACTGATTGTCAATCATTGTAATGTTAAAAAATCATCATAATCAAGCATCAGGTTCTGGATCCAAATCTGTGTCATGTTTATGTCCGAACTATTATTACTATAAACAAAACTATATATCTTAAATTTGATAACTAATCGGGACTGTACCATGCATGACTTGTTTAGTATAGATATTGTGACATTTTACTGAACCATATATAGGAAGATAATTTCCTGCTTTTGTATCCCTATTCAGTGTTATCAGAAGTTAATTATCTGTTTTTTATCTCCTTATTCAGTGTTATCAGAAGATAATTATCCTTCTTTTTATCTCCTTATTCAGTGTTATCAGCAGATAATTATCATTCTTTTATCTCCTTATTCAGTGTTATCAGAAGATAATTATCCTTCTTTT